TTTGTAACATTGGTGCATTGCATTTTCCTTTTAGTTTGTAACTTTAATTAACTTTGAATTGGATTTTTCTTTTTTGTTGTAACTTTAATTCATTTTGCTTTGCATTTTCCTTTTGGTTTATAACGTTAAAGGATTTGGAATTGGAATGCTTGAGAAGTTTAACTTTAATTGGAATGCTTGGAATTGTAACTTTAATTTTCTTAGGTCGTGAATGCTTGAGAAGTTGAAGAAATTGTGAATTTATATTTTTGTGAATGCTTGAGAACTCGTGGTTTTAAACCGCTAATTCGCGGTAACCGTAAACCGCAAAACGCGGTCGGTTTGCGGTTTCAAAAATCACCAAACCGCAAATAGTCGGTCGGTTTGCAGTTTGAGTAAAAATTCGCGGTTACCGAACCGCAACCACCCCTATTCTCATCTGATTCTGTGCTAGGTTTTTTTTTTTTTTTTTTTTTTTTATTTTTTTTTTTTATTATTGGAATTTTTCTATGAACAAAGGGGCCCATGGCCAGCAAACTTTCCCTATAAAAGGCCAATTTCTTTACCTGAATTCACATACCAAAGCTTCCATCTTCAGCTCTCTCCAATTGTTTCTCTTAGGCACAAATATTTTGTCCCTCGTTTTAGCTACCAGAATCTCAACTTACTTCATACCCTTGACCACTTGCCCATATTCGTTTTTGTATTGATCTATTTTCAAACTCTTGTGCTCTTCGCTCTCCTAAGATGCAGATTGAAAAACAGGCTAGATATGCACTTCTGCTGGCAGCAAAGGACTCTGAGTATGTGAAGAAAGTGTATGGCGGCTACTACAATGTGTTTGTTGCAGCTTTTGGCGCAGAAGGAGAGAGTTGGGATTTGTACAGAGTTGTAGAGGGAGAGTTTCCTAAAAAGAGTGAGCTTGAAAACTATGATGGCTTTGTGATCAGTGGCAGCCCTTATGATGCTTATGGCAATGACCACTGGATCATCGAACTTTGCTTTCTCTTGCAATATTTGGATGCCATGGAGAAGAAAGTCCTTGGCATTTGCTTTGGTCACCAGGTACCTATGCTTTCCACTAAATATACATCTGGCAACAGAATAATCCCGGCGTTTTAACTTTTTACTAAATATCTGACGAGAAAATATTACCCGCGTTTTTTTATTTTACGACATGTGATCTAAGTTTGAGTATGCACTTGAATTGAATAGGTTTTGTGCAGAGCACTGGGAGGAAAGGTTGGGAAGGCTGATACAGGGTGGGATATTGGGCTGAGGAAAGTGAAGATAGTGAAGGACCTGTCGCCATTCAGCTTCTTCGACGGATTGGATGAAATCCCACCTGCGCTTTCGATCATCGAGTGCCATCAAGATGAGGTCCGGGAAGTTCCTTCGGGTGCTGAAGTGATCGGATACTCCAACAAGACGGGGGTCGAAATGTTCACCATTGGAGGCCATATTCTTGGCATTCAAGGCCATCCTGAGTACTCCAAGGACATCCTTTATAATCTCATCGACCGCCTTCTCAACAACAACTTCATAGAGAAAGGTTTTGCTGAAAACGCAAGGTCTGCACTGCAATTGGCTGAACCAGACAGGAAGATCTGGGAGAAGATCTGCAAGATTTTTCTCTCATAAATGGCAGTGTTTTTGGGTTTTTTTTTTCTCTTTTTCTTTTTTCTCTTTTGTTCTGTTATGTAACTGGATGGAGGGCCCAACATTTGTCAGCATAAACATGCCTAACACATTGGGTTTTCACTGAAAGTGAAGTATATATTACTGTTTAATCAAAGATGATGACTTTGTTTAGCTGTGATGTGAAACTCGTTGTGTTTTGTCATTGGAATGCCTTCTAACCTTGTAAGCCATTAAAGGAACACACAGATTCCGAGCCAAGTTGGAGTGGCAGAGGTGACGCCACCCAACCAAAACAAAACCCTTCGCATGAGAATTTCAATTTCTAAGAATATCGCAACCAGATAGCAATTTTTTTTAATGTAGAGTTGACCCAAGTATCATCAGCACCTCAATGTAGATCCTAGGTTCTACTAGTTGTTAAGAGGAGGAAAGTCTGTCGTATAAAAATCAACTTGACTCGTTTATTATTCATGTTTAGCAGGTCGTGCCATATTCGTGTTCGCATCCTGCATCATTAACTTCATGTCGCTATTTAGTGGTGTTGTCATGTTGTGTCCAAAATTTCCACCCCTAGTGATTAGTAGCCTCATCAACATCTTAAGAATGAAAAGGAAATGAAGTGATAAAGCATGTACAAGCTTGCTATTCAAGGCAAAGTCATTAGGGAACCAGGGTAGGTATCTCAAATGTATAGCAAATGTGGTCCTTGTAGAAGAGGTGAACGGGAAACGGCCCAAGTGCAAAGAGTATCCAAACCGAAATGCGGTTGTCCAAAAGACAACTTCCCACTTTCTAGTTATTAATCAGGATTGATCAACTCTCCGACACAACAATTTCCTGAAGAATAATAAAAAGTAACAAAAATTTGAATGGCATCAATTAAGTATAACAAATAATACAATTGAAAAAGAATTCTAATATGCTGATTTGAAGGGTGATAGAGGCTTGCTGAGTTGTAATTTTCCTATGGGCAGTTAGGAAGAAACTATGACAAGTCTCACCATAAAAACTGTGGAATCCGGCAATTGGGAAGAAACTATTCACATGAACACTTATGTCCGAACATACTTAAAAACTGGAAACTGGAAACTGGAATTTCCAATAATATAATGATTTGAGTTTGACTCAGTCCAATTGCTTTTGTTCTACTCGTTTTTCAGTCCAACCCATCGGACTTGTTTCATTTCCTTTAGCCTGGAATGTCCGCGCAGACTCAATTATGTTGAGTAATGCTATTTAGACACACAATACCAATAGTGGCACACCCATAATAATCAAACCCAAAAGCATTTGGGGTGAATTTATAGTCTGCTGTTCAATGCAGTCTTCACAGATTGACTTTGATAATATGGAAAGAATGAACAAGTAGGTCAATTCTCTTATTTTGATCAAATGTAACTACATATCCCCACATGGGCAAATCAATTACAGGCTTTACTAATGCACTGTTTAACGGCCAATATAAATGCTGCAGAGGATTGAACGTTACAATCTTACAATACAAAATGTTCCTTAGATTGTATCCAAACAATAACAAGGTGTGATTATGTAATCTGTGCTTTTTGAGTTTTTCTTTTTTGAATTTTTCTTTTCCTTCTATTTGCCCACATTTCTTGATATGGGCAATCCACAACATCAGATGGAGATACAACAAAATACCTCTATGTGAGAGAAATCATTGAGTAATGATAGCTATGCAAGCAGTTGATGTTCTTTTGCGTTTTGAACCCCAGCAAAGTTCCACCTTATTAATCTTTCTCTTGCTTCCAAGGTAGCCTTGACAATTTGGAGCACCACAATGGCACTTCACCTCGGGTCCAAATTGCACAAATCTACAAAATATTATATTCAAAATCAAAATATTAGGAACTAATGCTCTACTAAATTCTCAAATCCCATTAATCTGCATATGTCAAAGAACTTCATCCTACTTTTCAAAAAAATAACAATAATAAAGCTTGAAATTAATTGAAAAGACAACTAAAAAGAAGTTGAGTCTCAGAAACTTGAAAAATGAGCATCTTACGGTTTTAAACAGGCACTCAAACAGGTTTACAAGAAGCAATAATCGTTTTAGAAGCCATGACAAATAACCATTTCTCTTAACAACATTTGTCCCTTGCGTCAGAAGGTTTGCAGCAAAAGCAGGGGCATAAGGACATCATAAATTATTTGAAGCTCATGATAAACAACATTTGTTTGAAAACCAGTCAAGAACAGAATAAATATTATTTTCGAACATAAAATTTTGAAATTTAGTATAAACATGGAAACACAAATGTTGAGACATGGGATCAACAAACAGAAACTAAACAACCTGCTACAAGTAAGATCAGGAGGTACCTGTAATCATATGTTAATGCCTCTCCAACTTCTATTGATCTTGCAGCAAACACACCCACCCGTGTTTCACCCTCAACTTGCCTGCAAGAAAACAACTTGAATATTGGTTGGGAGCCTAATTCTATGTTGAAAGCTTTATCCTAATGAGAAGATAGAGAATTCATTTATCTGTATAACTAATAAGGATTGCTAACGCAACTAATGGGAACTGCTTAATCGGATCATTGCTAACTCTTGATTTCCACAGGGAGAGAATCTGTCTTGCCCCATAAATCAAGAAGCTCAATTACTAACCCTACAACTAACAACTGGAACACAAATTCTTGTCTAAAACAACTCCTTAGCAACAACTGTGCTCACTTAGACATATTGATAATCTTTAAGTCCATAAATCTTGTCTAATGCATGTAGGTTCCACAATGGAACACGGGTGTAAATGAATCCGACATGCACCATGGCTATAGGACCCTTCTTTATATGTGATTATTGGTCTGACCATGAGAATTGACTACCAACAATTTTTTGACAAACATGTATAAAATCAGTAAATCACAGACTAAACAGGAGCCCAGTGTCCCAAAAGAGGCCAAGACTTGTTGATAAACACAAGCACATAGTAATTGTTCTATAACATGCAAAACAATATTCCAAGAGCAATTGAACCATAATCCTAATGGAATGTGCAAGTGAACTCTATCCGCAAATTCCAAAGCAATTCAAAGACAATAACGTTAAAACATACTAACCACTTTTCAAGGACACAGTTGGGATCACAGCTGTGGTTCAAAAATCGAGATGGATTTCCTTTGAAAGTTGCATCAATTGTAAAGTCTTTTCGAATTTCACACATATAGAAATTCTGCACCTCTTTGTACTTCATGTCCCAAAGCCTTCGTTCGCACAAAGCATCATCAATAACTGAAACAGATAAAATAAGTTTAGAACCATAAAATTCAGGTATCCAGTTTGAAATTGGGAATTCACTCTTCAGAACCATAAAATTCGGTTATCCAGTTTGAAATTTATAGTTACATAAAACAGGTAATACTCTAAAAAGAAACACATAAAATGCTTGATGAGAAAAGAAAGCATGAGAAACACAGATGCAGTCAAGAACAGGAGCTTAGTTTTTTTATCTTTTTTTTTTTTGTTCTGAAAATACCATAGGCAACTTGAAAATCAAAGAGAAGAAAATATGAACATGAAATGCAGCCTTCACTGTTGTTGATTACAGAAAATGTAAAGAGGAGAGGACAACCTTCCCCAATGTACTCAATTATAAAATCGCCTTTCTTAATAGATTCAGCTGCCTCTGCTCCCCAACCGCAGTGTTCAGTCTGAGGTGAAATCAAACATTATTTCGTAGAGCCATACAAGGGACAAAATTCGCCTCAGTACATAAAATGTAATCAAGAATATATAATAAACTCTACTTGAAGAAAATAGAAGGTTGACTTGATTCTCCTCAAACATACTATTTCTCACCTTTACGATTTTGATCTTCTTCTCCTTGCGAAACGGTCGGTTTGAGCAATTTTCTGAGCAATGGCAAGCCTTTGAGCAGCTTATGCATTGACCTCTATCAGATTATTCATATGTCACAAATATGGCTGAGGTATCCATGAAATTTTCAATTTTAATGCAGAGAGTTTTCACTTGAACAGTGAGGATTAACTTAAACATATGGGTGAAATATCAGGTACTACTGCATTTTGAAATATGGGGAAGCGTTGATGCATATTAATTTGGAAATAGGATACAATATTGACAACAGATACCCTAACAGCTATAACATACTTCATCAGTCAAAATATGGAAGATAGTTCAAAATACCTGCAAACACAATCCTCAGAGCATGTGGAAGTGCGACATGTGCATCCAACATCATCATCACTGCCATCACGCTTCTTCTTGACTAGGTAAATATCTAACTTCAGTCAAGATAGATGCCAAAGTAGTCATAATATTGAGAAATACTTCTAAATAAATAAAAATTACCAGCCAAAACAGAATGACCACTGTTTCTCATCAGGAATCAAATGCTCAGTTCTTAACATTTTTCCATAAACAATTCCATGCACAGATTTATGTCAAAAACTTTAACAACCTCAAGTAACTGATCCGATGTAACAAAGAGCATATATAGGATACTACGCCTGATGTGCACATATGGAGGTGGCTCTAATTTAATATCCGTATCTTTCCAAGTCAAGTCAATCTTGAACTCCTCATCAGTGTAAGGCAGAGGCAAGCGACAGAATACCTCCTAAATTTTGAAGAGAGTGAATTAGTTGTGTATATCACATATTTATAAGAACTAGTCAAACATTATAGCACTGGAACTGGCTAAGCCCATTTTCTGAGTTTTTCTTACACTTTACGTCTAGGATTTAGGTATAATTTGTAAAGGAGGCTTTATGGTAAACTTTAAAATAAGGAGACATCTTTCATCAAAAAAAAAGAAAAAAATAGGGAGACATCCGCATTATATCAGTTAATCCAGACATAAAAAACAAATAGTACAAGTAGAAAAAAAAATTATTCAGTTATGGAACTTCATAAAAAAAAATTTGTTATATTTAAATCTCAAGAGACAAAAACAAAGCTCAGTTTTCAAAGAGATCCAACCATTTTCTCTATTGTACTGATGAAACAACTTATGTTAAACAATTTCCGACAGTAACCAATCTGAATACTGCATACTGAAACTGATGCAATATAATGCATGACACAAGTACTTCACATATTTAGCCATGCTGATGTAACTTCATATATGTATATATTAAAGATTAACAAGCTCTTCATAAGTCTGACCTCTATACTGCTTGTCGAAACCACATGCTGCTCATTCAACAAATAGATCAGTCCTGTCAACCAGCCTAATCAATGAAAAATACAGATGACGAAATAAACTTCAACAAAAATATAAGATATTCTACGCTAGTTTTAAACAAACTCAAACTATATAAGTCAGCCTCAAAATCATTGCTTCCCTCTGACAAACTGCAAAATCACATACTAAATAACAACTCACTTGGTCCAGATGATTAAATTCAACACATAACTTTACTTGAAAATGAAAAAAAGTTCATATATCAGAATAAGACACGCAATACAATAACCAGCTTACAAGAAGCAGACTTACGTAGACACAGACTTATCGGGCACACTGTGTGACTGACATAGCTGATTTATACTGTTCCTAACAGAGGGAAAAATAGTTTTAAATGTTGAATTGAAAACTTAACGAACTTCTCAGTGCCACCTTAATTAGAACGGAGCATAAAGTTTAACTCTTTGATTTTCTGCTTTCTTTAATACTTGATGACAACAATCTCAGATGACTGGACGAAACCAAGAAATAACCCCTCACATGTGAAATTATAGAAGATGACCCTTCCCTTGGGTGGAAAAGGAGTAGGTCTTAGGTAAAGGCAAGAGAGGTGTCAATTTTGCGATTCTTTTTCTGCTTTCTCTAATACTTGATGACAACAATTCATGTAGCCTCAGGGCCTTCCCTAAGGTGAAAAATACATAGGTCTTGGGTAAAGGCAAGAGGGGTGTCAATTTGACACCAGATCTGTTTCCGCATATCATATACTCTATTTACTGTAATCTTCCTGCAGAAGGATATAATTTTAGTAATTTAAACTATTTCATGCATAACCATTCCTCACTTTGCATTCTGATCAAATGCATCAAAGAAAAGAGGTACAAGAAAATGAACTGCTGAGACTTCTTGTTCCATCATGTGCATGCAGACACGTGCGCACACATACACATCTCATGTCACTAGTTCCCCTTGCTTCACTTCCAGAAGTTCTACATTCCCATTGAATGCAACAACAAAAAGGCTATAGTATAAGCAATGGAACTGCAGGAAATTCTTGTTCTATTTTATGACTACATATAAATCATTTACTGACAATATTAGAATAAAAGTGACAAAGTGATTTTATGGGAAAGGAAAAAGAACTATACAAACATGAAGGATGATCCTCTGAGTCTCTAATTCAGTTGCATGAGGATGCATGTTAGAAAGAAACATGAAAAATCCTCATGGGGACCCCCATCAGTTGCATGAGGATACACAAGGGTACCTTCTTTTGTTGGTAGCACATTCACATTAAAGTGAAAGACAATGATTGTGGTGTAGATGTACCAGAAAACTAAATAAGAATCAGAAACTACTGATTAAGGAAAGAAGAAATTGACCTTCCTATCTTGCCGCCAATCTGTAGGATGCCTCCAACAAACAGCCTTCCCTGGCCGGTCTTTCAAGTAAATCACTTCATCCGGCCAAGCTGCACATTTATCATGTGACGCTATAGGGCATCGCATACACCGCCAATCTACCCTCTGTCTGCAAATGAAGCATGCCTGCTCAATGAAGATGCAACTTGTGTAAGCAATTTTGTAAGTTCAAATTTTTGTGTGTGCGTGTGTGTGTGTGTTTAAACAAAAAGATCCTTCAACAGATATTAAGAATAAGATGACAGGACAACAGAGGAATGTTTAAACATTTTTGTTCTATAAAAGTTAAACAGGATTTAGTACATTGTGAAGGATAGAAGAAATCTGAAGCAATAGTAGACACTTTCAGAATTTTTAATTACAACTCCTTAACATCTGAGGGAAGAGTGCAAAAGTTTATCCGCTTTAATTATGATACCTAAAATGATTTTAACATTAATGTTGCACCATTAAATACTAACATCTATATATGAATGAAAATTTCCATTTATAAGACTCATATGATGGTCTCCGTGTACTAGTTACCAGTACGAGATGGATAGAGTCTACATGTCAATAGCCAGGCCAACACCCTAGTAATCAGTATAGTCATTGTAAGGCTTATATCGGAATCAATGAAGAACAGAATGTCCACAGTACTCTCTCAGAACCAAATAAGAGCAACCTCTTTCTCCCAAACGCTGACATAGATTTATTGTAGAGTTGCTTTTTGCACTTTTAACATGCAGAAAGCAAAATAGCATGGCACAAAATAAAATAAATAAATAAGTAGAACCAACAGTATGATTATTCTTGTCAGATCTTACATGTTGCTGACACTTGAACTTTTTCATATTAGAGATTCGAAGCCTTTCCTTCACACATTTCCCATGATACACTCCTTGACAACCACGAACAGAGCATACGACCTCCTCCCCAGGGTAGACATAATAATGGCAAACAAGACATTCAACCTGAAATGAAACCAAAAGTAAAGAAGAACAAGTAAAAAAAGAAAGAAAAGAGTACACTGTGAAACATAGAGTAGCAAAAAATGCAAGAAAAGCATCATGATCAGAAGAACTTTAAATACATGATTCTAAAAATACCACTAGTTCATGTGATTACTCTTTAAAACCCCGCCTCAATCATTGAAATTAACCTCAACTAATAATCTTGGTCAGAAAAATATTCCAATATGGAATAAGACTGATATACCATGTATGGTAATTCTTTATCGAACCGAAATAAGATCCCAAAACGAACAAAGAAACTACTCTTGCCCCCAAACACGAACATAAAAAATACCCATTCTCGTCAAATCGCAAATATCAAAAAGCAAAAAGATTGAAACTTTCCCTCTTTTACTTCTCTTCCCCCATTTTCCCAGCAACCAAGCAGCAATTCAAAACGAAAAGTAAAGTTACCAATTTCTTTGGAAACCCATTCGCGCACATTGTCCTCCAAACTCTTGCCGCTGGAGATCTTCTTTGATCTGTCCACCAATGCCCGGCTCCGCCGGAAAACCCTGATTGCAGCGCCAGTGCTGACCTCGGCATTGTGCAGAGTGGCGAACCTCAACCTCTGGTCCCAATCGCAGTCAAGGCCTAGGTTTTTGACCAAGCTCTGTTCGGGTGAATCAGTGAGCAATTTGAAGTTAGGGGAGGTCGTGAGGGTTAGAGAAGCTGAGAGAGAGAGGTTTCCGAGGTCCGGCATTGTTTGCAGAGACAAAAGAAGAATGAAGGAAAAAAATTAAAATGAAAATTGAATTCATATATGTGTAGAGAGAGAATACTACCGACGAAAAGAGAGAGAAATGAAGCGGGGGTTTTGGGCGGGAAAGTTGAGATTTGTGAAAATTGTTATAGAGATGGTGTTCAAATGAAATTACTGGTAAGGTGCTCCTTATGGTGGGAATTTGCGAGACTGCCATGTGGCTAAATGGTTGGTAACATTGACCAGTTTTTTTATTTCTCTTGTTTTTAGATATTGAAAATTATTAAAGATTTGCAGGCATGGGCTTAGCCAAGTTGGTTAGAGCGGATATGCTCCTCAATCTGCACCAGTGTTCGAATCTCCACCGTAGTTTACTTTACATTAAAGTAGAATATCATTTGTACTTCTCTTGGCATTGATTGATTTTATGACTAGAATTGTTGTGCGGATCCTTAACAATCACAAGCATCACCTCTTTCGCCTAAACTCTCATATCATAGCCTCGCAAGACATGTAATATATTGATTTCTTTTCTTGTCATATGGTTGTTTGAGCCTAGTTGTAACTTGGTCGGGCCATGCCCAAAAATCCAACAAAAGGATAACTATTTAAAGCGGTCCAAAATCAATAAGGATGACTAGAAGCCCAAAATCATATATGCAGCCGAAAGCCTAAAAATGACCGAATACCTAAATGCGGTCCAATGACTAAATACAGTCAATTCTTTAAGCACCTAGTTGTAACCTAAATGCCCAAGATCATATATGAGGTCGAGTAACTAAACACAGCCGAATGAATAAAAGGGGTTGAATGCCTAAAAGCAAATTAATGTCTAACTGCGACCGAATGCCTAAATATGCCAAATGCTTTAAGCAGCCAGTGTCGAGAAGTTATCTATGAACAAATGCTTAAGATCAGCCAATGCTTAAATGAGGAGTGAGCATCCGTAAGTAAGATGATTTTCTACACATGTCACAATCCACAAATAAAAGGAAATCATGTCAACCAAATGGTCAACACAAAGTGAATATGGGAAAAGCTCAAGATGCAATGAACATCAAATCAAGTACTATTATTCATATTAAATCATATGCATGGGTCAAAGGATTGAAGGCATTTTGGGTCAATCATGGGAAATGATGGAATCAACCAAAGTCAATACTATTTATCAATGAACAATTAATATTGATTAACAAATTTTAAGGCCAATTGATGGAAGATCAAATTGGGACTTACCGAAGCCCCTGTAAATACCAATTTGTTAAAGATAAGGACCCCCAACATAACACACAACTTGTCATTTTATATTCACTTCAATTCCTATCGTAGGAGTAGCGGTAATGTAGCTCGTAGTTTAGTTCTTATTTTTTCGGCTCTAGTTTCCTTAGATTTCAACTATGTCTTTACATTTCAAAACGCTCTAGTCTAGTTTACATTGTTGTTCATTTGATTTTCAATTCCATTGCAATTCAAATCGTAGTTTAATCTTTATTGTTCTTATTAATCTAGTTTACTTTACGCATTCGTATTTCAATTATTTATTTACGCAATTTAAATTATGCACATGTCTTTAAATTCTTTACTCTATGGACTTTAGTTTCCGTACTAGTCTTTTCAATTCTATTTAAATTCAAGCACATTTACATTTTATGCTTTGGTTCTTCATTTTATTATGTTTCTCTCAATTTATTGTTATTTTAATAACATCTTCTTCCCATCTCCATTTCAGTCTTAATTACCACTAATTCTACATCACTTGGTTGCACACATAGAATCTTGACTCCAAGGTAGTGAAAGAAACTAGGTCGTGAGGAGGTTCCTTGCTTGGTAGAACAATCGTTTGATTAAAGTCAAAACTTAGAAGCATCATCTACTCACATTCCATTCAAGGCAAATTTGTGATTTTGTGGTGGAACGCCCACACACTTAATCAAAGAAGGACCAAAAGAGGGAAACAATGGTTTCTTCTTTTTGTATAACTGTTACCCTCTTTTCGGCCGGGGCGGCCGACGGAAGGAACTTTTGGTCCTTCTTCTTTTTTGAGTGCGGGGCGTGCCACCACCAAGCCCCGAATTTGGGCTTGAATGGAATGTGAGTAGATGGATGTGTTGCGTCCGAGATCTGACTTTAATCAAACGATTGTTCGGCCGAGCAAGGAACCTCCTCACGGCCTAGGCTCTTTCACTACCTCAGAGTCAAGGCTTTATGTGAGCAACCGAATGATGTGGAGTGGGTGGAGATGAAGATTGAAGGTGAAATGCAATGAAACGAATAACACGTGCATAAAGTAAAAGGTGCTTGAAGTTAAATATAATTGAAAGACAAGTGCGGAAAGTAAAGTGCGTAAAATAAAGAATTTAAAGACGAGTGCGTAATTTAAATTGCGTAAATTAAATAATTGAAATGCGAGTGTGTAAAGTAAAGGGCGGAAAGTAAACTAGATTGCGAAGAACAGTAAAGACACATGAATTGAAGTTACTGTAATTAAAATAGAATTGAAAAACAAGAACAAGAATGTAAAGGCATAATTGAAATCTACGGAAACTAGAACGGGAAAAATAAGAACTAGGCTATGGTTACATTATGCTACTCCTAGGATAGAAATTGAAGAGAATGTAAAATGACAAGTTGTGTGTTGTGTCGAGGGTCCTTTCTCTCTTCCATAAGCTTGGTATTTATAGGGGCTTCGATGCGTCCCAATTTGGTCGGTCGTCAATTGGCCTTCAAATCAATCATAATTGCTCTAGAATATCTTCAATCCCTTGTCTCATGCTTGTGATTTAATATGAATAATATTTGATTTGATTTTCCTTCCATCTTGAGCTCTCCCTTGATAACTTCAATTGACCATCAAGCTGGCATAATTCCTTCCATATTTGAATTGTAACCTATGAAAATCCTCCTACGGATTATCTCTCTCCTTATTTAAGCATTGACTGATTTTATGTATTCGGCCGCTTTTAGTCTTCCGACCGTATCTACATTTTCGGCCGCATATAGGCTTTCAACCACTTTTATGCTCTTGACCACATTGATGTGTTCGGCCACATTGATGTATTCCACCACATGTAGATATTCTGCTACATTTATGATTTTGGGCTTCTATCCGGCCTTATTGATTAGGCCCACCGAAATATAGCTTGGGCTCACTATTAGTTTAATTGTCGGATCTCGGGCCTGACCCGGTTAAACTTCAACCAGGCTCAAACAATAACTCTTGGCCATTTGTTTAATGATGGAAACAGTATTTTAAATCCTTATCGCGTAAAGCGTTGCATTTTTTTTCCAGTAAAGCATAGCGTAAGCCTCAAAGCATCGACGCGTAAGCTTTTTGGGAATAGAATTTATTAAAACAAAAATACAAAAAATATAATATAGTTTACCAAACCAAAACAAAAACAAAAAAACTAGGTGGCCAACCCATAGGTGTTGAGCCTAACACTAAAAATGCAAATGAGATAAAATAACAATTTGAATTAAATGTGACTGAGTGTCATTCCCCAAAAAAGGGAACATAAAGTGCCATGAATCTTAAGAAAATAAAAGAATGATAAGCTTATTAACATTTATTAATAACTCATGCTTTCTTAAGATACATAAGGCCTTTTAAAGTTTAAAAGCAAGTATAAGTTGATGTTTGGCTAGCTTTAGACGTGAAGGAGAAGAAGAACCAGGTGCTGGAGGAAAAAGACCAGTCGTTGCAAGTTTGACGACCAATCGCAGAAGCACAGAAAAGAGCAGTCACAGTGATAAAAGCAACGATCGATCAAGATTAACCATCCTACCGGTCGAATTTGTATAGGTGCTAGCGAAGAGGCGTGATCTCCAGTATGACCAATGGCTCTTGCTAGCGACCAATCGGTTTGTGACAGAAGCTATAGCGCGTTTAGGAATTTAACGTGGTTTTCCAACTTGTTTTTGGTTTTCCTATTTAATTATGATTTTATTAGGTTTCCTACTTCTTTTATAATTGTATCTAAAGACCTATGTGTATAAATAGGTATTTTAGTGTTAGGGTTTTCTCTAACGAGTGTAAGAGGAAAAACAAGGGCATCAAATTGGGTTTGAGCCAGGGTTGAGAGAAAAGAGAGTTAAGGTTTGTAAGAGAACAAATGGGGTTCTTTATTGTAACCGAAGAGGTTCTTTCTTATAAGTGAATTTCTCAGGGACTACCAAGAGGACTTAGGCACAACACTGAACCTCTATTAATTCTTGTATTCTTTGTGAGTGTGTTTACTTTTTAGTTGGTGTGTGTGCTTTATCTTTGCATGGCTTGTGTATGGTAGTTGCATAGTCCATCAACGACAAGTTCTTGGATTATTATGCCCAAATGCTCTTACAATTTTAAGAGCGGCGATGTGTTGACAATGGCAAGCGATAGGAAGGAGGAAAGAGAAAGCACCCAGACGAAGACAACACAAGTGGCGATTGTGAAGGTCGAGTTGAAGCCATTCACCGACAAGGCGAACTTTATGCTTTAGCAAAGGAGAATGAAGTACTTCTTTAAGCATTAGGGTCTCAACGTAGTTTTGGCAGGCAATGAAAAGAAGCCAGGAACTATAACGGAAGATGAGCGGGAAGACCTAGACGAACTTGTTAAAGGGTCAATCGAACAACATCTCACGGATGACCATGTAATATAATTGAAGATACCGCAAAGCAGATATGGGAGAAACTTGAAGTGATGTTCGTCAATATCGTTGTCTAACAAGCTTTTCTTGAAGGATAAGCTTCTTACTCTATGAATAAAGGGTGTGCAAATATAATGAAGCATCTTAGCACCTTTAATAGGTGTATTGCAGACTTGTAAAGGACGGATGAAGTTTATAAGTCGAAAGATAAGACAGTGATGTTGTTGACATCTTTGCCTCTGTCTTATGAGTACTTCCGCATGACGCTTATGTTCGGTAAAGGAACTCTGAAGTATGAAAATGTGATGTAAGACATCCTTACGCATCACCGGATAGTTCAACATTTAAGAGATGTCTCTCAAGATGAAGGTCTTGTGGCAAAGTTCAGAGAGAATGGTCGATCAAGCAAGTGTGAAGGCAATAAGAGCAATAGGGTATGGTCAAAATCCAGGACAAAAGACGGTTGCTTTGAGTGTGAGTCAAAAGATCATTGGAAGAAGAATTGTCCTACATGGAGAGAGAATAGAAACAAGGAAGCTAGATGACTCAGTCAAGGTTGCGGAGGATAGCAAAGGTGAGCTTTTAATTGTTGATAGCATTGTTAATACTGATGTAGTTTATATTTCTTCTAAGGTTTCATCTTCTGACTATATTTTCGATTATGGGTGTCATATCATATATGTTCCAACGAATCTTGGTTTGACACATATGAGGTGGATGATAGCGACGAAGTTGTTATAGGAGATGGCTTAGTTTGTAGAGTCGAAGGCACAGGTATTATTAAGGTAAAGATGTACGACAATATTGTTAGGACATTGGGTATGGTTAGGTACATACCAAAGTTGAAGAAGAATATCATCTTGGTACTTTTAACAAGAATGGTTATTCTTACAAGGCCATGAAAGGAAAGCTCATAATCTCAAAGGGTTCACTTGTGGTTATATAGGGGGGATCTTCAACCTAACTTCATGTATCGACTATGTGGTACAACAATGACTGGTGGAGCAGCTATATCTACCAAGAATTACTCAGAGGATGAGACTTAGCTTTGGCATTTGAAGTTAGGGAATATGAGTGAGCAAGCCATGCAAGACTTACACATACGGAAGCTTTTGAAGGGAGTACACAGTTACAAACTTGAGTTCTGTAAGTATTGTACAATCGGAAAGAATTTGAATGTGACATTCATACAACAAGACAAAAAGAATATGAGCACGTGAGTGCTTGATTCTATTCAGTAAGATGTGTAAGGCCTGCACTGGTCAAATTATTAGTTGGAGCCCGCTACGTCACGTTCATAGATGATTTTTCTAGGAAGGTTTGGGTCTGCTTTCTGATGGAGAAATCTGAGGTCTTCACCAAATTCAAGAAGTGGAATGTGGAGGTAGAGAACCTTATGAGAAGAAATATCAAGATCCTAAGGAATGACAATGATGGTGAATATAATGATAGCAAATTCCTTGAGTTTTGCAATAACGAGGGTGTCAAAAGGTTTCACCATGAAGAAGATACCCCCACAAAACGGAGCCGCTTAGAGGATGAATTGAACTCTCATAAAGAATGATAGGTGAATGAAGATTCATGTCGGCTTGCCCGAGTCATTTTGGGTGGAGTCGGTTAACCACACTTCATATTTGGTTAACTAGTCGCCATGGTCTAATAAATCAGTTGATTTTACTAATCTTAAAGTATTTGGTTGCAGTGCCTATGCTCTAACACCTAGTGATGAGAAAACCAAGTTTAAACCAAAGTCTCTTGAATGCATTGTCCTCAGCTTTGAGAGTGGTGTGAAGGGTTTTAAGCTTTGGGATCCAGTGAACCGGAAGAGAATACTTAACAGTGATTATGCTTGTTAAGAGTCTCAATGTTTAGAACTAAGAAAATTATGAGAGACAACATAAGGAGATGATATTATCCTCACATCAGTAGCTAGTGAATCCAACTACATATCAACCGTCATAATCTTAAGAGCAGTCACCCTCTGAGCAACATTCGTCCTCCCTTTCAACAACGGTCATTCTCTCTCAGCATTAGTCACCTTCCCAGCAGGGTCCATCTTCACATCTGTCACCATCTCACTTGTATTATCCCCAATCGTATCATCCACAACCATATCAGCCACTGCCTTATTCTCTTGAAAATTTTTCTGTGATGCTCCATGAAAGTTTTTTTTTGCAGAAGTTAATGTCTTCACATCAAGGGTTCATCGTGTTGAATAGAGTTGGGATATTTTGCTCTTATATTCACACTTTTTGGGATGAGTTACCTTTGTACTTTTTCAGATAGTTTGTTACCAACTATTTAGCTGGCTTTCAACATCTCCGGTACTTATTTGATATTTTGTTTCCTACTATTTAGCTGTCGTTGGAAGTCTATACTATTTTGATATTTTGTTATGGTAGTTTAGTGACCTCCTGCAACAAAATAATTTTAAATAAATAAAAAATCTGCTCCTACATTTTATGAATTAGAGGTTGGTATTGTGTATTTATTAATGAGTTTGAAATGTATTAAAGGCACATATACATGTCCCTATAATCAGTGGTGGATCCAGGATTTTAATCCTAAGGGGTCAACGTGCCTTTGTCGTGTTCATATGGTTTCTGTGTTATTTGCTTTGCCTTTGTCTTGTTCACAGGGTTTCTGTATTCTTTTCCTTGACTTTGCTATGTTCATAGGGTTTTTGTGTTCTTTGCCTTCCTTTGCCATGTTCATAGGGTTTTTGTGTTCTATTATGTGCCTTATTTTTTGGGGTTTGCTCTTGTAATTGCGAACTTTGCCTTGGTTTGTCAATTGTTTCACTCGTGGTGAATGAAAAGAACTTCTCTACAAGTTTTTTGATTGATCAATGTCAAGTACGATGTTCTATGACTCACTTGTCAAGTTGGGCATGCGAACATCTTTACCCCAACTTGGGGGGTAGTGTTAGCAAGTCCTTATTTAGTTAAGATTCTGGTAACTTGCCTATTTATTTAGTCATATTATAATTGGGATTTATTTTCTAAGGTAATTTAGATTTATTTCCTATTTTATTTAGACACATTTTTGTACTTCTTTATAAATACCTCCATATTGGAGAAAAATACAATCTGAGCATATCTGAGCATATATGAGCACAACTAAATATATGCACTACTTTGTTTGACACGTTTATGCACTGTATTTACAGTTATACAAAAATTGTATATTATTCAATTCTCTCTATTACTACACTAATGAGGTCAAAATTATTACAACATTTAAAAAATGAACACTTTATTGATGAAATTAAAATGATTACACCAAGGAGAGAAAATGATACTTTTATTGATATAAAAAAAAATGATGAAATAATCTTATTCTTCTTTACAATTAAAAAGAAATTTGATTAACCAAATAATAATTAGCCTACCCTTGCTCCCACATGATGATGATCAATAGTGAATTTTCACTATGCAAAAGAATCCTATCTTTTGTGTGCATCATTGTTCTAGACATGGACGTCCCTTCCATGCGTATTCACATAAAAAAAAAAATTAAAAAGAAGAACCCTAATGTGAATAAGATTGCAAAAGAGAGTAAATAAAACCACCAAACATGCTCCTCTAAGTGGTGAAGTCGCACTGAAACATGGGCGGCATGAATGAATTGAGCTCACTGAAGATAAGATCATCTCCCTCACCGTAGCTACTCGATTCTTGGCAGTCGAAGTATGTCTGTATGTCATCGGGAAACGTGCACTGTGGCGTGTTCAGCTCCGGCTGCGACGATATGGAGTCAGTGGCCGTCGTCATTTCCATCATCTCCTTGAACTTTGATGACTGAAGCAGGAGCCCTAGGGCTGATGTTGCAGTTGTTGGTCTAGGCAGCTGAGTGGTCACTATGGTTTCTCCAGGGCTGTATGCAAGGTTGTTGAAGAAACCAAGTCCACGTTCTTGATCATTTGGGTTTTGGGTCACATTGGGCAATATAGCCTCCGCATTAGGGTTAGTCTGACCAGAAATGTCGTTGTTAGGGCCATTAGGCTTTAGCCATTTGATGTAACGGCTGAGGTCAAAGTTTGTGACAGCATTGAGCCCACGGTACTCTATGGCCGCCATGTCATACGCTGTTGCGGCTTCTTCTTGGGTAGCTGAGAAAAATTTAAGATATTATTTTGTTAGTTTGGAAGAATTTTGTTCACTAAATTGCTATTTGGGTTGAACTTTTAAGGAAATTCGCCTCGATAATATTTCATTAAATAAAAGGCGAACTTCTTAAAATTTAATATTAAATTCCTAACTTTAGGTTAAAGCCTATTTTAGTCTAAGGGTGGCCTCGTCCTTAACTTCACCTTTTAAAAAGACGAGACTCTCTATGTATGTTTAGATCCCACACCACACTTGATTGTGACCCTTGCGATATATGTGTACTCAATAAATACAGTGCAAATATGTAATTTAATTTTTTGTAATGTCCAAATTGCATATGATCATTGTTTTGGGTGAATAAAAAGGTTAATTTGAAACGTTTTTGTGAACATACCATAAGTCCCGAGATAGAGATACTTGTTGCCAAAGACTCGCCCAATTCGAGCTTCCCATCTTCCATTGTGATGATGTCTGCTCATTGATGAAATACAAAGAAAATTAGAAACTGAAACAAAATAAACAAATTTTGTACTTTAAAATGAAACCAAATTGGGATGACTAAAAATACCTAGCAACACCTCTATATTTAGAAACTCCCCGAGAAAAACCACTGCTCTTCCTGCAAATTTTATCACCAAATTAATCTTATTCTCAATAAATCCAATTCTTTCTCTCCTTAATTTTAATAATTTTTAAAATTCAAAAACTTACCGTCTCAATGATCCAATGTATTCCTCTCTTGACTGGCCCTCCATTTCTTTCAATTCTTTCGGATATGTCGATAACTACAATCGTTATGTAGATAAAATTACTTTCTTCCTTAATTAATTTCCATTTTGTAAGATCTTCAGCAAAAAATACACAAACAATTTCAATAAGCAAAAGAAATTAATTACCGGAAAGTTGAGAATGGTATCTTGACCCCAGTATTTAAGTGCTGCCAAGTCATAAGCATGTGCTGCAGCTTCTTCATCATCATATGCTCCTGAAATACCAAACTTTGCTTTAACATATATCCATCTATATATGTATATATATATATACCAAGGTAAAAGTAGTTGCAATAATAAAAACTTACCAAGGTAAACTGCATTTGAGTAAAATTCCATTCCAAGCAAACAACACAAAACCGAGATGGAAAGAAGAAATTGTATCAGATATATACACCAACAAATTGCATGTAGATGGAAAATAAATGTTGGTATATGGATGAGAAGATTGTAAACCTTGGCGGCCCTTCTTGTTCTGTGATTCATTCCAGCAATTCTTATCCCACAAGTGAGCCTCATATCGGCCGGTCCACCGATGCCTAAATTTAGGGAAAAAGAAAATGATCCAGAAATCAAACACGCATACAAATAATTAAGCAAAAACACACATATAAAACTAACAATTTGAATTGATTTTTGTTGTTGTCTAGATCTGCAGGTACTTAATTAATCACCTGGTGACCCCTCGATAAATCGAGCTACGTTGAGGAGGAGAGTCTCTTGGGACACTTCTCCTGGTTCGTTTCACCTTTGTGACTGTAGTGTTATTAGCTGCATTTGCATTAGAAATAATGTTATTTTTTGCAGTGGTTTTCTGGTTGGATAACTTGGCCATGAAATCAGTATTTCACGTCGGTGGAAAAATAAAGAATAATAATAATAAGAGAAGATGTTGAGGTAGCTAAAGCTGTAGGAGGAGAGAAAAGGAATATTAATGGTGAGAGATGGGTCGATATGACTAAGTCCTCAAAGTAGGAGGGTTATAAAGGAACGGAAATAAGCATGCAGAGAGAGAGAGAAAGAGATGGAAAGTGATGGGCCGGACTGGAGGAGTGAGATGATGAGCTGTGCCAATTCATCACAGAGTTTGCCGGCTGAGGAGATTGTTTGTTATGGCCGTCTTTAACCGGCCCTATCTCGTATCTTCTACCTTGTCCCTCCTACCCCTAACTTATATGTTATGTTCCATTGCCATCATATTAAATAATTAAAATATAAACGATGTAGACAATTCTGTCTTAATCAATAGGATGATCCTCTCTCTTAATCAATAGGATGATTCTCTCTCTCTCTCTAACATTATGCATATAAGATCTTATTCTTTCGGTAAATTTCTAGCATATATATTATGTCGCCCAATTACCAATGTGGAGTGCACGTTGAAACAAGAATACTTAGGGTGGGCAAAAAACTGCACCAATTCCGCTAATCAAGTATAGCGTTTATGTGGTATAACTTGTCTATGTGTTATATTAAGTGGATATATTTATGGATATTATATTCTAAAAGTGAGAAATATTAATCATGTCGTCTACTGGACAGATTACATATGCTTAGCTATAGTTATTTTGAATAATACATGGCAAGTATACAATATGGTGGTGAATCTGATGCTACACTTTGAATTATAAGGTGATGAGCAAAGAAAAATAATATCAAATACTGAATTTAACTTCTCTTATTTAGGGGGAAGGCCACTAATTGATCTTCAAATTAGAAGAGTTTATTATTATTATTATTATTATTATTATTATTATTTATAGAATGTAAAAGAGGGAGTTTATCTTTGTAAAAAAAAAAGTGAGAAAAATGCAAAACAAGCCAAAATGTAATTGCACACCAAGCAAAAAGAAACAAAAAAATTTTGGTGTCACATCATAAACATAATCACTTTGTTAATAGTACACTTGGTTATTTGTAGTTGATGAGTTAATTAATGTGGGAAAAACTTGCAATCCACGAGAATAATACTATTTTGTTATTCTCAACTAATCACATTTTTTGTCATTCATAATAAGAATTTCACATAACGAAAAAGTGATTGAACAGAAATAGCAAACCGTGCTATCCCGAGAGTTGCAAATTCTTCTCGTATTGTAAGTATCCTTGGAAGATATTTCACAGTGATGTGGACAGGTATACGAATTGTATTCATGAGGATTTAATTTGTTATATGTGCCAATTTTAGGTTTAGGCTGCCCTACTCTGAATATGTACAGTACTGTGTTGGTCCAACTACATGGGCCCAACAATTGAATTATAGCGACAGTGCCCGCACCCCCTAAATAAACCCAACCCAGGTAAGTGGGTGGGTGGGGACTAATTAAATGTACCGAACATATGTGTAATGGGTTACCTAATTACCAGTAGAGCTTTCAGACGGTCCGTGTCTCGGCCAATATATATATATATATATATATATTTCAAAACTATAGCTGTCCGGCTATACGCTTTAAATTATATAGACGCATGGCTATCTTTTATATATATATATATATATTATGTATAACCTTCTCGAATTACTCAATATATAGTAATTCATTATTTTTGTTCAACAAAATCATGCATCCCACTCCTCTCAATTAATTACTCTTGTATCTGACACTCCACACTTTACCAAGTTGCTAATGATGAACTTGCACTATTATGTATCCCGACAGATATATTATTGCAGCAATCAACAAATATCAAACTTCCAAACGAAATCTCCAAATTTCTATAATTGTTATGTCCAATGTAAAAAACATTCCACAAAATAATGAATTACTATATATTGAGTAATTTATGAAATTAATTAAAATATTTAAATACTAGTTATTCACTAAATAAATAATAATTGAAATATAATTAGTAAATAAAGTAATTAAATAAGGCTAAGTTATTTCTTAATTACAAATATTAAACTAAAAAAAGTAATTTTGTTTAGTAGCCTTGTAAACAAATATTCATGAGGATTTAGTTTGATGAACTAGGTTTTGTTTTGCTGAGTACTAGTTAGGGGACAGAGTTTGAGTGAATTGATGGTTAGAGATAGTGTGTTTATTTGGGGTGAGTAACTCGCAAATGGGTGAGTCATGGAGCAGATACTTTTGTTAAATTTTGGGTGATAAAGCTAGTTTTTTAATTTGTTTATTTCAATTTATAAATAGAACCCGAAAAGGGCACTTGGGGTAATTTCAGTCAAAAAATTTCTAAAAATAATACTTGCATGAAATGAAATTCTACATTCAATGATCCAAACCATCTATTTTTAATAGGGGTGATTGCGGTTCGGTAACAGCGAATTTTTGTCCAAACCGCAAACCGACCGATTATTTACGGTATGGTGATTTTTGACACCGCAAACCGACCGGTAAACCGCAAAAAGCGGTCGGTTACCGCGAATTAGCGGTTTAAAACCGCAAGCTCTCAAGCATTCACAAAAATATAAATTCACAA